CGACAAGAGATGGAGAATGTCATGGATTGCCTAATTAAGGAAGGGATAGTCGAGAAATCAGATTGTCCCTGGTCAGATCCCGTTGTGTTAGTCTAGAAGAAGGATAGGACCCAATGCTGCTGTGTGGACTTCAGGGCTCTTAACAGTATAACTGAAAAGGACTCATACCCGCTGCCAAGAATTGATGATACTCTTGATGCCCTAAGTGGAGCCAGGTTTCCATCAAGTGAAAATGGCTGAAGCAGATAAACCTAAGACTGCATTTAGTTATGGCCAAGGTCTCTGGCAATACCGTGTGATGCCATTCAGGCTTAGCAATGCTCCAGCAACATTTGAGAGGCTGATGGAAAGAGTATTGGAAGGCCTACAATAGAGGATAGCCCTAGTGTACCTGGATGATGTCCTTGTGTTTGCAACATCGTTTGATGAGGAAATATCCCGACTAGAGGAAGTATTCAAGCATTTGAAAGCAGCAAACCTCAAACTCCACCCCAAGAAATGCCAGAAAGAGGTGCTTTACTTGGGTCACATTGTAAATGAGCATGGTGTGTGAACTGATCCTGACAAGGTGAAAGCAGTGCATGATTGGCCAACAGCAAACATTGTGGGAGAGTTAAGAAGTTTCTTGGGACTCTTTACCTATTACTGGAAGTTTGTGAAGGACTTTGCACCTATAGCTGGTACGCTACATGATTTGACAAAAAAAAAGGCCAGAAGTTCGAATGGACAGTTTCTTGCCAGTATGCTTTCAATACATTGAAAGAAAAATTGGCCTCAGCTGTACTTTTAAAGCTTCCAAATCCCTCACTGCCGAACATACTGGATTGTGATGCTAGTAATGTTGGAATTGGAGAAATGTTGTCTCAGAAAGTGGTTGAAAACGAACATGTGGTGGCCTACATTAGTAGGGTCCTGAGTAGACCAGAGAGAAACTACTGTGTAACATGAAGGGAACTCCTTGCTATAGTAATATTTCCATCCTTACCTCTATGGTGCCAGGTTTACCATCAGGACAGACCATGCTGCATTACGCTGGTTAAGATAATTAAAGAACCCAGAGGGACAACTGGCACGTTGGATCGGAAAGATAGACCAGTATAATTATGATATTGAATATAGAGAAGGAAAATCTCATGGAAATGCCGATGGACTGAGCCAAAGACCCTGCAGAAATGACTGCAGACATTGCTGCAAAACAGAGAGGTTGAACTTTGAAGTCAAAGTGACCGAAGGAGTTGATGATGATGAATTAGAACCAAGTATAGATGTTAAAACAGAAAGGATAAAGACCAAGATTTGAAGTCAATAGTTGATTTTCTACAAGCAAGTGTTTTGTGCCCTGCTTGGGAGAAGGTATCTAGCTTAAGCCCTGTGACAAAGAACTATTGGGCACAATGGGACCAGTTGAAGCTTGAAGATGGTATTCTTCTCCAGAGATGGGAAAGTGACGACATGTCAAACAGTTATACTGAGAAAGTTACGGGAAGTTGTGCTGCGTCAATCCCATGATAATTTAACAGGAGGACATCTTGGAGTTAAGAAAACATTGAGTCACCTGTGACAGAGATGTTACTGGATGTGTATGAGGCAAGATGTGGAAGAATGGTGCAGGACCTGCAATACATGTTGTGCTAAAAGGGGACCCAAGCATAAGAGACGTGCTCCAATGAAGTTATATCAAGTTGGTGCACCAATGGAAAGAGTAGCCATTGACATTGCTGGTCTTTTGCCCCAAACTCGTGCTGGAAACAGGTACATTTGTGTGGTGATGGATTATTTCACCAAGTGGCCTGAGGCATATTAGTGATTTTTTCTTCAGATTTGGTATGCCATACGAACTGCATTCGGATCAAGGCCTTAACTTTGAATCAGCTGTGTTCCATGAATGTTGCAAGTTGTTTGGTATACGAAAGACCAAGACAACGCCACGTCACCCACAGTCTGTTACCTGAAAAAACCACTGTTGAAGAAGAAACTCTACCCGGTTTTGAGAAGGAAAACAGTGAAGCTCTTAATGAAGTTACTACCACTGATTTGACTGCTACCGATAATGGGACATTTCCTGATGGAGCAGATGAACCCCACGTGAAGCAGAACCCAATGAGACGGAGACCAGTAGGGAAGAAAATACGTCCTGTAAAATTAAGAGACTTTGTTGTATTTTAATTTTGTGTTTGTAAATTCTGTACATTTAATTAAGTTATTGTTAATTATCTGTTGGTTTAATGTAAGTGACTAGTGTTCGGGACAAAGAATAATAAGGAAGGGGCAGTGTTACGACAGTGGAAGTCGCGTGATGCTGGGAGCATGCGTGCTGGAGTTTCTCGAAGGATCATGAATTATCGGGAGGCCCGAGTTTGTTCGAGGCGCCCTCTTTTTTAGTATATAAGCCTGGAGAGAAAAACCAGCGCGATGGAAGAGATATAGATAGAT